CATTGTACTGGTTGGTCCCAGGGATGCCAGCTCCCTGCTGCGCCGTGACAGGGCTGAATGTTGTGGCCACCTTCAGAGCCTTCATCGCACTCAGCTTCCTCTTGTAGCTGCAAAATCCAGGGATGGGGTGGGTGAGAGGGGCAGGGGGAGCTGGGCCATGGGATGGGGTGGGCAGGAGCAGGATGGAGGGTAGGGATGGCTGTGGGGGTGCTGGTGAGGATGGGAGCTGTGGGGGGAGGCAGGAGGGGGTGCAGGCGGTGCAGTACCTCCTGGTGGTGAGAACCAGGACCAAGGTCATGATGAGTATGAAGATGAGCAGGAAGGCTGCCAACCCTGCGATGATGCCGATCAGCTCCGTCTCCCTGGTGGGCTTAGTCACCTCCCCAGAGCCCTGGTGCAGAGCAGGGGTGAGGGCACAGTCCTGACCAGCAGAACCCCCTATCCAGCCTCACATGGGGTTGGTGCCCTCTCCCAAATCCCCTTGCCCAGCCCCACTTACGATGACAGCCAGGCCCAGTTTCATCAGCTCAGCCAAGCCCAGAGGGTCAGACAGAATGAGTCTGCCAAGGAAAGCAGAGGTGTGAGCAGTCAGGCTGGTCCAGGCACATGGCAGTGACCCTGTACAGCCCCTGGCACTCACCTGCCTAGCTGGTGGATGTCCAGGGCAGTGCCATTGCTGTAGACGAAGTACACCTCCATCTCTGACTTGACTTTTACCCTGTAGGACCAGAGAGATGGGGGGAGTGGGGTGCTGGGGTGGAAGGCATGGTGCCCTTCCCCAGAGTGACCCTTGCGATGCCACCACCACGTCTCCTTCCCCACCACCACTCACTGAGTAGCGCGGGTGTCCTCCAGGCTTTGGATGGCCACCACGTAGACTGCTGCCTTTGTCACAGAGGTCAGGGCCCTAGGAACAGGAGAGACGGGGAGAAGCTGAGCTGGGCATCCTGCTGTTCCGCTCATGGGCACAGGCAGCTGGACCCCCTGCAGCCTCTGCCCCCATCCTACCCCATCCCCTTCACAGTCTGAGGCTGTGAGACATACATGGTGGGTCCTGGCCTGCATGCCTGTGTCACCTGCTGCACAGCCGTGCACTCCCTGCCCCGCCTGGCACCCCTTACAATTTGATGTTTTCAGAGTTTTTCTGGACTTCATCCACTGTCACCAGAAACTGGAGGCCAACGCGGTAGCTCTCATCCACCGTGAAGATCTGTGTGTGGAGAGCAGGGGTCAGCAGGGCTGGGCAGGGCAGGGGGTGTCCTGGAATGGAGGGATGGGGGTGACACTCACATTCAGCACAGTCTGTGCTGTGTGCACTGGTGCCTCCTCATCCCGAGCCTCCACCGTCACCTGGTACTGCCCCTTCAGTGAATCATCGAGGTTGCTGGCCACCCTGTGAGGACAGGGACATCAGCAATCCCACTGGGCTGCACAGGATGTCCCTGGGATGGCACTGCCATCCCTCAAGCTCCACTCTGCCTCCACGTCCAGGGCAAGACCCCAGGATGGCTTTGTCTCCTCTCCAGCCAGTGCTGGCCCTTTAGCAGGCAGGAGCTGAGCCACATCCCCCCACCCTGGCCCAGACCCATGGCCTCACTGGATGCTCCCGATGTAGATGTCGTCCTTAAACGTTTTCACCACCTTGAAGAGGTTCTGGAAGGGTCGGCTGGCCCCATTGTCCTCCACGAGCACCACACTGATGATGGAGAAGGTGATGGTTCCCCTTGGTCCTGTGTCAGCATCTGTGGCCTACAGGGACAGACCGTAGCAGGAGCATGGGTGGGAATGACCCCTGCCTGCCCATGGCAGGGATGGGTGAGCCCAGCTCCACAAACTGACAGATACAAGCAGGCAGCTCCTCACCTTCACGGTAGCCACTTGCAGGTCCACAGGAGAGATTTCAGGGACAACCACTACCAGGGACAGACAGATGGAAGGTGCAGTCATGCTGGTGCACAGCCAGACTTGCTGCAGACCCTATGCCCACACAGCCCTGGGGCTCCAAGCATCCCCCTACTGCCCTCTGCCCCATAGGCTTCATGGAAAGCATGGAGTAACCTCAGCCTGGCCCCCGCACCCCTCACAGCCCTGCCCCGGGCTGGGGGCAGGTCTTCACTGCTGGTGAGTGTGGCAGAGCACATGCGAATACAGTGAGGAGCCCACAGGACGCACCAACCCCAGCTGCTCACCAAAGGTCTCTGTGATGGCCTGGAAGACTGGTGCATTGTCATTCACATCAATAATGAGGATGCTCAGGGTTTCTGCAAATGTCCCAAAAGCAGAGCTCCAATCACCAACAGAGCAGCCCTGCAGCACCCTCCTTTGCTTCCCACCGGAGCCCTGTCCTCCCAGCAGGCTCAGGTTCCTGCAGCAGGGACTAAAAGAGGTGGGGACCCCCTCCCTCCTTCGCCAAACCACCCAGCTCCTGCCCTGCTCCCCACATCTTCTCCTGGGTGGTGGGAAAGGCAGGTCCCACCACCCACCATGCCCAGAGGTGGTGGAAGGAGCGGGGAGCGGGAGCTGTACCGTTCTGGCTGTAGCGGTTGCCCTTCTCAGTGTACAGATCCTCAGCCCGCAGTGTGAGCAGGACCTTGTCACACAGCTCGTAGTCGATGTCTGAGCTATTCACCAGCACTGAGCCGTTGGGTGTCAGCACGAACCAGTCCAAGCACACGTTCCCAGCGCTCCTCTCTCCCTTGAAGCAGGTGAACCCTAGCTCCTCAAAGACCAATGAGTGGTTGGTGTCTGGATCAACGGCTTTCAGCGTGTGGACCAGACCTTGCTGTGTCCCATTCTCAGCCACGTTCGTGTCCTGCAGTGAGTCTTGCAGGACAGTGGGAGGCTCATCATTGACATCTAGGATGTGGACCACCACCGAGACATTGGCCTTGTCCCCAACATTTTCTGCAGCTGTGTTCTCTGCAAGCACTACCAAGGTGAAGAACTTCTGCTGCAGGGAGTCATAGTCCAGGGACAGGTCAGGGTCTACAGACAGATTCCCACTGTAGTGCCCTGGTCCCTCGTAGGATGAGCGAATCAAGAAGTTGGTGGAGCCATTGCCCCTCTGAAGTTGGAATGAAATGCGAGAATTGATGTCTGTCCGGTCAGCGTCTGTGGCCTCTACCTCACCCACGAAGGACCCTGCAGGGTGGAGACAGACACTTGGTGGGCAGCAGGCACTGACTCAGGGCCACCATTGGTCCCACAAGCCTGGCCATGCAACTTCTACCTTGAGAGTCTTCAAAGACTGAGAACTCATAGGACTGGTTGAGGAACATGGGAGCGTTGTCATTCAGGTCCTGCAGGAGACAAAACCCATGGTTCTAGCCCCTCCAGGAAACAGGGTTCCTCACAGCAGGCTGGGGACAGGAGAATGGGCACCTGCCTGCCCACGGAAAGGAGACACACAAGCTCTCTCCTGCCTCTTTGCATCAACTATTCACTCTGCCCCCACAGAAAGCTGAGGGACACAGTGCCTCTGCCACAGCCAGGGATCCCACATCCCCTCCCTGCTCATCCATCCCAGTTCCAAGCCCTATTCTGCCCCAGCATGTCCCCAGTTTGTTCCCAGGGCTCACCCCAACGGTGATGGTGACGTTCACTGAGGTACTCAGCCGTGGCTCGCCGTGGTCATACACCTCTACTGTCACCACGAACTGCCCCCGCTCATCTTCCAAGGCCTCACGGTCCAGGGGCCCCTTGCTGTGCATCTCACCTGTCTCTGTGTTGATGGTGAAATTGTCGCTGAACAACCCTGGCAAGATCTTGAAGCCCAATTTGCTGTTGGGGTCACCGGGCTTATCATTGTCGATGGCCTGAAAAGGTCAGCAGTTGGAATGGGGCTGTCAGGCACCTCAGGGACAGTCCCTTCTCCTCTCTGGTGTCCCCATTGCCCCCTCCACCTCCCTTAGTACATACCTGGATCTGTGTACTAACGTTCTGCCCCTCTTCCACCGAGATGAAGTAGGAGCCGGTGACGATGGGTGCCATGTCATTGGCATCTAGCAAGGTGATCTCCAGCACCGTAGTGCCCACCAGGCCACCCCCGTCCTTGGCCTGGAGGTTGGCATAGTAGATGGAGCGAGTCTCCCGATCCAGCAAGTTCCCATTCTGCACCAGTAGTGCCCCAGTATTGGCATCCACCATGAAGATGTTACGTCTATGGCATACAGAGAGTCATCACTGGAGCTCAGGCCTGGAGCCCCCTGGCCAGGTTGATGTCCTGGTCATGGTTGACCATGCCCTTACTTACATGCTCTCTGGGAGCAGCTCATAGGTGATCCTACCCAGGTCACCACTGTCTGGATCATAGGCCTAAAAGAGAGAAGGAGATATCTAGTCAATCTGCTTCAGTCCCCAGAGCAGTGATGAGTCTGGGGTGGTGGCTGCTGGTAGTGAGCACCCCAAAAATATGGCCTTGATAGGCAATGAGTCCCACATCCTGTGTGCCTGGTGGCACTGATTCCTTCCGGTTTGTACAGAGAGATCAGTGCCCTTAACAAACTGCACTAGAAGTGTCAGGCGTGCCCAGTGCCGTGCTTGGGGGACATAAGCTGTGCCCAGTCCCTGCCCAGTGGCTGACCGTGATGTTTGAGGCGATGATGGTGCCGTTAGGGCTGTTCTCCAACACGGTCAGGTTGTAGGTGCTCTGGGGGAACTCAGGGATGTGGTCATTGCTGTCAGTGAGGTCGATGGTCACAGTAGCTGTGGAGCAGCAATCTGTGGGGTTCCCCGTGTCATTAGCAATGATCTGGAGGATTGAGAAGGGACTGTGTCTCACATGTGTCCCCAAACATAAGAGAGAGACCTGTCACACTCCAGGCCAGCTCCCTTGCAACAAACAAGCTGCCAGGGCAGAGCCATGTTACGCTTTGTCTCCTGAACCCTGCAGGAGAAGGGCCATGTCCCTGCTGTGCCCCAGCATACACAGGGAGCAGGAACTGCCCTCACAGTAAGGCAGCCCTACAGGTCCCACCTGCACCACCATGACGTGGCTTATCTCGTAGTCCACTAAGGATGGGTTTCGCACCAGGAGTTGGACCTCCCCTGTGCCCACAATAGTTGCTGGGGACACAGTGAAGGCGTCGACATTTGGACCCTGAAGATACAGCTTATAATTGCTGTTGATGCCCTGTCAGGGAGAGACATAAGTGAGGGTGGATGGTGCAGCCAGGACAGACATCTGCAATCTGGCCCAGCCCCATGGACAGGCTCCCACCTTATCTGGGTCATGGGCAACGATGCTGAGGCTGGAGACAGGCAGTCCAGAGGAGGAGTGCTCTATGATGCTGCCCCTGAAGTTGTTCTCAGCACTGGCAGAGAAGTTGCAGCTGGAGAGGAAGCAGTTGTAGAACTGGGGCTTGTTGTCATTGACATCAGTCACCATGACTGTCACCAGGGTGCTGGTCTGGGCAATCTTGCCATAGATGTCCAGGTTCTTCTCACGTGCCTGGGCAGAAGGAGAGAGCGGGTTGGAGAGGCCCAGGGAGAGCAAGAGGATAGGATTCCTTTTGCTGCCTCCTACTCACCGTGACTTCCAGCAGCACTTCCTCATTTGGCAGCTGCTCACGGTCCAGGGGCCCACTCACAGTGATGGTGCCCGTTGCGGGGTTGATAACAAAGGGGACACTGGCATCTAGGACAAGGGGACAGCAGGAACCAGTGGCAGCCACTGGGAAACATGGGCCTGGCCCTCTCTCTGCCAGGAGGGTAGGCTGGCTGTCCAGAACCAGTCCCCATGGTCCCCCTTGCTGCCTGATCACTGCCCCTGCCCGTCCCACTCTGCCACTGCTCACCCCCCACCCATCCCATACTGCCCTATCACTCACTGGTTATGCCATAGGAGATTTCATCTTTCACCCCTGTGTCTGGGTCCATGGCGATGACAGTCAGCACAGTGGTGCCCTGTGGGCACATGGCCATTAGCTAGCACCCAGCTGCCCCCATGCCTGGTGGCCCAGACACCCCAGGGTGTCAGAGCCCCCAGGGACATCCAGGGGCAGGGACATGACACTGGGGCAGGCAGGTCCCATACCAGGGCACAGTTCTCAGGCACAGAGCCAGAGTAGGGCTCTTTGAGGAACCGTGGGTTCAGGTTGGGCACGTCTTCAATGGTCAAGGACAGGTAGGAAGAGGAATTCTGGATGACCCATTTGTCGTGCAGCAATCCCCCACCATCCTGGGAAACAGAGCACCTGTCAGTCCCACAGGCCCCTTACCTGGCAGCACTGCACCCCTGGCCTGCATGGTCCCCACCTGGGCAAGGATGCTGAGCTGGTAGAAGGTGTTCTTGGCATAGTCCAGTGAACCATTGAGCACCACACTCCCATTGGGCAGGATGTAGAAGAGCTGGTAATTCTCCTTGTTGTCTGGGATCACCTGAGCAGAGGACATCACTCTGAATCACCAAGGCAGAGAGCAGAGGTGCACCAGCAGAGTTAGGGGCTCAACCCCCATCCTTCTGCTAGGCCTGGCTCACAGGCCATGGGGAACCCATGGCTCATCCTTAGCCTGCAACTGTTCAGCACCTTGCAGCCATTGCCCAATGGGTACAGAGCCACACAAATACCCTGGTTCTAACCTGACACACACCCCTACTCCCCCAGAGCCATGGGGCTGCCCCCCAGCACCTCAGCCCCATGGGAATGGCCCAGGGGAGGGGTTTGGATATGGTGTGCCCCACTCTGTGCTCACCTCACTGATGCCGTAGGTGATTTTGGAGGCATTCCCAGCATCACTGTCTTTGGCAACCACGGAGTAGAGGATGGTGTTCGGAGTCGTGTTCTGGGCACACAGGGTGGAGGTGGTGACATCTCTCAGGAGAGCAGGGAGGGTGATGCTGGGCCTGGCCCCTGCCAGCCCTGCTCTGGGGTGCTCTGACCCTCTGCAGGGCTGTAGGTGCTGCCCAGTGCCATGGGACACACAGGGACGAGCTGCTGCCCTTGCTCAGGCCAGGCAGAGGATAAATCCCACCCTCCCTAGGGCTCCTTAGGAGCAGGGGCTGCACCCCAGTCCTAGAGTTGCTGGACAGAGCTGGGACTCTGCCCCACACCCTGATTCAGTGTCACCCTAGCCCAGGTTGAGCAGCCACTTGGGCACACCCTGATCAGAAGCTCACTGCAAGGGCAGAGTCCCAGCCAGGCGCCAGCGCCTCGGGGTGACACAGAGGCATCCACCGGGAACCGCTCAGGTGTGGAGTGCTCCCAGGTTCTGCCTGCACCATCACCCCACGCCCAGGCACACACACACCACACACCCAGGTGTGGGGTGACAGGGTTCCCAGCACACTGTTGTCCCACTGCTGGCACACCCACGACACTGGAGCCACTCAGCACCCCTGCCCTACTGCCCATGGTACCTCGGCGGTGGGAACTTGAGCCGGCAGGTTCTGGAAGACTGGGGCATTGTCATTCCGGTCCTCCACGATGACTACAAGTGGTTTTGGGACCTACCAGGTGTCAGGGAAGGTGCAGGATGGGTATGGGAGATGGTGGCCAGCAGAGCTTGGTGTGGTTGAGGCACTTCATGCCCACCCCAGCTCTCCAAAGTCAGCCAGCATCACCCACCCACTTTCAGTTCCCTTTCCCACTGAGCCTTGTCCATTGCTCTGCTGAGATCCTGCTCCCTTCCCACTGCAGCCACCCAGCCCATGTCCCAGCACTCACGTCACTATTTACGGCATCAGATATTTTCACGGTGAGGGTGAGCTTGGGCTGGAGCTGAGGGGACACAAGGCAGAACTTGGTCAGGGCGAGGTGGAACTCAATCCTTGGAGGGCTGAGCCTCAGTACACTCCCACCTGACACCTCTGTGGGATGCTCCTCCACAGGAGCTGGGTTTCGTGGCCAAGGAATGACTCACAGTACTGCCATGAGCACCTCTCCCACAGGACTCATGGCTCTGCCCTCCGTCCCAGTCACACCAGACCCTTGTTCAGGCAGAGGCCCCCATCTCTGCCCTCACCTCGCGGTCCAGGTAGTTCTTCAGTGTCACATTGCCTGATGTGGCATCAACAGAGAAGTAGAAGGCATCTGTCCCTTCGATTTTGTAGCTGAGGGGGTCGTTGTCTAAATCATAAGCCTTCAGCTGGAATGCATACTGCTCTGGAGGAACAGGCAGAGTCAGGCCCTGGGCAAGGACGCCCCAGCTGCTCCTCCAGCACCCCAGAGCCACTCCAGGACTGCCCTACTCACTCAGTTCCAGGTCCTCAGGCACATAGACCACAGTCATGTTGAAGAAGGGCGCTGTGTTGCCTGAAACTACAAGGAGGAGGTGTGCTGAGCACCACTGCTGCACTGAGCTCTGCAGGTACCCCCCATGTCTGGCAGCACCTTCTTAGCTTCAGCCCCACCACCCCTCATCTTCCTTGTGCTCATTCCACACCTCCAGACCACACAAGTCTTCCAGCTGCAGTCCCCATGCTGGATGCTCTCCCCACTGCCCAGCGCTCTGCCCACTCTGCCCTGCCCTGGGGCAGTGAAGTTGCTGTTGGGTTTCCAGTGGGATGGGCAGCTGGTTTTGGGTCCCAGCTGCCCTCAGGGCATTCAGAAAGCATGTTGGGGGCTGAAAGCAGCTCCACTGCCTTGCACCCACCCGTGCCAGATATCAAAAAGAGTCCTCACCTGTTGCCAGAAGGAAGGGGAGCAGCACCAGTGAGCTCCATGCCATCATGCCAGCAAGCCTGTGGGCACACACCAGAGAACAAGCACCTGAGGGGCTGTGTTGCCACCCCAAATTCCTCCTGGGGAGCAGCCAGTGCTGGTGGGGACAGTCTGCTCTGCTGAGCTGGGCTGGTGAGAAAGCAACAGGCTCCATACCACACCCCTGGGCATAGCCTCCCTGGGGACATGGCACCAGGGAACAGGGTTGGCCTCCAGGCACCAGAGACCATGAGTGTGCTTGGGAACCCCAGGAGCCTCTCCTGGCCATGACTAGGGGTTCCATTGCTCCTGCCTAATAGGGCCATGCCAAGCAGTGCCTGGAGTCCAAGAGCAACCTGTAGCACCACCATGGTGTCTCCCTCCTTGTGCCACGGCCTGTGGGCAGCCCCACAGCTGAGAGACACCCCCATTTCCCACCCACAATGGACCATGGTGCCCATGGGGGCCAGGGCAGGGGCTGACATCCCTTACCTGTGGCCGTGTCGCTGGGGATGCTACCTCTGCACTCACAGCCAGACACCGCCAGACCTTTGCCTCCTGCGGTAAACATGTTCATCAATTATTAACTGCAATTAAGGGGTGAGAAATCCTTCTCTCATCTTCCTTATTCCTTGTGCTCATCCCATAGCTGTCACCCAGCCCAGCCCCATTCTCACTCCCCAACATCACCCTCCTAGGTCTCCATACTGGGTGCTGTCCCCCAGGATTCAGCCACCCCAACCTGCACCCATGGGATCCAGCTCTCAGAAGGGCTGCAGAGCCTGCGGGGATGCAGAGGGATCCCAAACCACCTCAGGAGACCGGAGAGGGATTGGGGAAATGCCTTGCATCCCCTGGGCTGAGCACACCAGGGTCCCACCAGGACAGGGGGTGGGTACCAACCCTGTGGTGTGGCCACTGGGGCGGGTGCCTGGGGCCCTCTGCACTCCCCTGCCACCCACTCCCCTCCCCGGGGGCTCGGCCCAGCCTCCCTGACCTACTTCATACCCGCTACGGACAAGGGAGGATTGTCCAGCTCTGCTCAGGCAGAAGAGGGCTGGGAGATGGCGGGGGGGCATGACCAACCCTCAGCCTAGTGGACCCCCACGTTCGTGTACCTGCATCCCTTCACCCCTATTTCCTGGGGAGCCCACAGGGTCTGGGTGCTGGGGAAGCTCTGGGTTCCTCCCAGACATTCAGCCTGCTCAAGGTCCCCATCTCACCCCACATCTGGGTCAAGGAGCCCCCAGAAAAGGGACTACAGGGACCAGACTGTGACCCCCATCAGCAAACCTCTCCAGAGCTGGTCCAGGATCACCCCAGTCCCTGTGAAAACTATCCTGGGACATCCCCATACATGCCCTGCCTGAGGGCACCCCTGGAGCCCCGCAGAGCCGGCTCAGGATCCCACCGTGGTGATGCCGGACACCCCACCACAAACCACTCCTGATTATCCCAGGACACTGCCACACCTCGCAGCGCTTTGCCCTTCCTGAGCAGACGGGTTGCGCTACCACTCGAAGCATTACGACCCCAACGCGCAGGTTTGTTTTTCGTTCTGCGCTGCTGTTAGGCGCAATACGGCGG